TCTCTTATTACGTTTTGTCTCTTCCCTATCTCACTTAGTCGCTTTTCTGCCAACACTTTACAGCATCTCGTTACGGATGTGCTTTCCCCATTCCCTCTTAATTTCATTATGCCCTGTATTTGTCCAATTTTCTAAGCCCTCTTTCCTCAATATATACCCAAGACATTCAATGAGAACGCGTATTTTATCAATATTTTTATGAAATACTGCAACATTCAAAGCATCATTTTATCGTAAATTACAAATCTCCCGTGTGCATATTCCACTGAACACTACAATATAAATCTTTTCATGTTTATATTTCTATCGTTTTCATCCTTCTTATCCTTGTAATTTTCAGTTCCTTCCACCTCCTATTTCAATCATATCGCACCTCTTTTGTAATAAGTATCATGGTTCTATTGAGTGGCCTTCCGACTTTTTTTTTTACGTGGTCTCTAATTATGCTGAAATTTTCTCGACCCAACCTCTTTTTTAAATTATGATATTTAATCAACTGTTTAATTTTTGGTAGAGACGAAAACTTATCAGCATTCCATAAATGTGTTTTGTTTTATTTTTTGTTCTTCCCTGCGAAAGCATCAAATGTCTGATCGACGAAACGGAAGACTAATCTTTAATCGAGTGTAATTCACCATGACGTGATTCATTTATGGCGTAGACAGTACTAAAAACCATTTAAAAAATAAAAGCGCCCTTCAGCAGAAGAACATTTTTTTCTTTAATAAGATTTCTTGAATACTCAGGCCGGTAGACGAAAATAAAATACTTTTTAAAAATAAATAGACCGTCTACTCAGATATGTGTATCATTTTATTGATACGATTGAGCATATTTGTGTGAATACATACATCCGTTGTAACTTATGTACACATATCTTTCTCTCTCCCTCTTATTTTTACTTAAAATAATGTGTAAATTAATAGAAATATTGGAATAAAAATAAATACATTATTTCTTTAGAAATTGCTTTGTTTACATTTTGAATATGAATCTGAGCAAATATGAGCTTTTTGAGAAATAATATCTTAGCGATGAATTGGCTTCAATGCTTCCCCGCTCAGAAAAAAACTTAAACCTCTTCAAGCCTGTGGTCAGTTATTGTCATTCTCGGTATATCCTCATAATCAGCATTTCTTACGTCTATTAAACAATGTCATTCAGTAACAATCAACCTTGATTGGCTCCTGGGACTTGTATTTGCTGAATGATTGTATTAAATGTTATATTAATAATAATAACAATTTTATGAGACTTTACAATACACCCAGACTGAACAATCAAAGCTAATCGCCCAAATCAAAGACCACAAGAACAGAATTTGTTTTCTTATTGACATGGCAGTCATTGAGATATATCTGCGAATATCTTCAAAAAACTATCAAAATACAAAAATCTCAAAAAGGTGACAGATGAAGACACCAGTAATTCCAGTTGTAGTTGGATCCCTCGGATTGATAACAAAAGTTTCCCATAGATTCATTGAAGGCATTTCTACTAACCCATGTCTTGAATAAATGCAAAAACTGTACTCACAAGTACAATCCGCACATCACGAAAATATGTAAAATGTGTGTGATCTTCTTTGCTTTTTTTTTTGTTTGTTTTTTGCTTTTTTTGCTTTTTTCTTTTCAAAAATGATCAATGTAAGATATTATGAAGCCATTTTTGACCTTAGGTCTCTGATTGGGACTCAGAAGGAAATGTGTATACAACAGAAATCCATGATGATGATGATGATAATGATGTCGACATTAGATAATCTGAAACTATTACGGAAGGTAAACTGAAAGAAAACCTAATATGAACACCATTCAAACCCGGTTACGGAGATAGGACCTGTAACAATTTTATGGGCCTTTACAATGCACACAGAATAAACAATCAAAGCTAATCGACCAGACATCGTGATTAAAGATCGCAAAAACAAAAAAAAGTGCCTCCTCATTGACGTGGATGTCCCTGAAGCCTGCAATGTATCTTTGAAGATCTTTAAAAAAAAAACTATCAAAATACAAGGACCTTGAAATCGAAATCTCAAAAAATGCGTCACATGAGGACATTAACAATTCCAGTTGAAGGGATTCCTGTTAGTCCATGCTTTAAAGAAACACAAAAAGTTGTTTTTATGAGTACAGCTCCCCACACCTTACGAAAGGCTTTAGCCATGTAAAATATGTGTGATTTTTTTTTTAAATTACTCATTGCAATATATCATGATAACATTGCTGACCTGAGATCTCTGATCGACACCCGGAAAGAAGTGGGTACACAAAAATATTATTATTAATATCATTATTACAACAACGACAGCAGAAGAAGCAGCTCAGAAACTACACCAGACAGGGATCTTGAGGCTTGTGATTTTAATTGACCGGAGGAGTTAACATGTACACGATGTCTTTTAGAATCTTAAATTAGGGTAGAGAAAATATTCTGTCCAGTATCACAGTTTGGCATCTTAGTTGGACAGATACCCTAGAGGTTGACGCACTGTGCCTCTCCTTTCTTGTAAAGGGGGCGTACGAGTCATCATAGCCGGGTGTCGATAATGTTGGATTTTTTTAAAGTTTGAAAGATAACGTATTAAACGCAACATGGGGGTAACGTCAAGATATTTTGGAAACCCCTCGTCCGAGCCAATTGAGTTAAGCCGACATGAAGGCAAAATTATAATTGGTCCCAATTTATATGCTGCTTTTATCAAATATCTGTCATTACATCGCATAAATTTGGCTGTAATGCATATACCTTGTATACCATGGTTGATTTTGTTTAGCGGCATATCAACACTTCTATGGGTTATTTAATGCAGAAATCGAAATATTTTGAATACAACTTCTGTTAGATATATTTTGAACGCAATTATATGGCGTCAACTACTGATAAAGTCTATTGTTGGTTATTTTGTTTTAAATATGTATTCTTGGTAATTTTACTAAAATTACTATTGGATGGTTGAATTTGTTTAGCAGCTTATGAAGCTCTATAGGCTATTTAATGCCGAAATCTAAATATCCAGTACACAATTTTATGCTTTCAACTATAGATACCTTGTACATAATTTTATACTCTCAAAGTAATCGCATGTTTCTAGATATATTGTTTGTAGGTCATACAATGTATTATTGGTAATTTTACCATAAAAAATACATTTCTATATTTTTTTAGTCTCACAGTGATTGCTATTTTGTTATGAAAATGTATTGGCTATTTTATTATAAAAATGAATTGTTGATTTTTGTTTTGGAGTTTCTCCTTTTGCGAATAGCTGGGATCCTAACAGGTGCTGACACCCCGGGTCAGGGTGAACCTGGACACAACAGCAGATAAGAGGTGATTCCACACGCCTCAAAACTTCTAAGCTCCCGATCAGTGTCCTTGCCACCGGATGTAGTTTATCAGGACTGACTCTTATCAGGTGTCTTGATGGATCCAGTAGGATATGGATTAATTTAACCAAACGTTGATTTGGCGGCATACTTGTCTCTCACTCAATAATGAGCATGATGGTAATGGCTTTGATGGTCAGAAAACAAGTCACGCGGCTCAAATCGCAAGTTCAAACCACTAACATGACCTTATGCTAGCCAGAGATTCTTAACCTTTTTGAAATCTCGCACCCCTTCGAGGATTCAAAAATTTTCAAGCACACTTTGATTTGAAAAAATAAATTTTTAAAAAGTCGAAGTTGGCTAATTTAATATTATAACTTGTAATAGCAAAATGTTAAAATTTAGCAAACGTGAATGATAAAAATCTCTATCGAAATTTTATTAATAATCTTTTTTTTATGTTGGTGTTGCTATTTCTCGGTTAATGTTCAAATGGCAGCCATTTTGTTTCTGTTAACGATCCGGATATCATGTCAAACATCCGACTGTTTTTGTCTTCAGATGAAATTCTTTTTTCTAAAGATATTTTGGCGCAATCGGAAGATTTTATGCAGAGGGATATTTGCTAATGTTCGGATCTGTGAAGTTTTTTACGTGATTTTACCGCCAAATCTTCCTCTGGTATTTGGATATTTTGAATGTCAATCGTTTCTTTCTAAAAACAATAGAATAAAAACAAACAATTGTTTTTCGCCTTCTCACTCTCCATAAAACTGGTTTATGTACTACTTGGGAATGAATGCAGGCCATATTAAAAACCACTGTTTCTAAACAAATGTTAAGCTTTGTAAAAATAACACTTGTTTTGCAGCTTAGTTAACTGATTGTAGCTATGTTGAATTCTAATAACTAAAGCAGACAGATCAGCCCGAATTACGAGATTGGAGCAGCACAATCTTTCTGTGTTTATTTCCCTTAATTTGAATATTTTCACTAAGAATGGTAAAGCTCGAAAATCAGGAAGATGTGGATGGCGTAACGTTTAAGAAAAGGGATAATGAAATCGACAAACAAATATCTCCCACACCACTCACGGTGACATAATGGTCAGTTTAACATAGGGCTTTCAATGCTTGAACTTATAACTCAAAGATAAAAAATATACCCATTACTCGCAATCAGAGTCACACAGGATATAAAGTACTATGATACACCCCTCCTGTTTTAATGCAGTGAATGGGGCGACTGCATTGTTAGAATCGCTAGGATTAAGCTTTTGCCATATTTTTTCGTGAATTGCCTGAAAGCAGAAACGCAACAAAGGAAATAGATATACAACGTTTTGATCCTATCTTGTAAACAGTTCGTTGATTGGCTGCTTGTTTTGTTTTGTTTTTTGTGTTTTGTTTTGTTTAGCGGCATATCAGTACCCCTATGGATTATTTAATGCCGAAATCTAAATATTTTATTTTATGTTGGAGATAATAATGGTTTAGTGATACAAGTCTTGTTATTGACTCATACGCTGGAGAGAAGAGGTGCATTCATACTTTTCTCAAGGGTATTTGCATGTAAGGGGATGTAACGAAACCAACCGGAATTAGAACTCGGCTGTTCGATTAACAATTCCGAGTTATTATCTATTACACCACCTGCACATCCAAGCTTACAGCACCTGGTATTCCCAAGCGGTCACCCTTCTAGGTACTGATCACACTCAATGTTGCTTAACTTCGGTGATCGTACGGGAACCGGTGTCACAACATGATATGGTCGTAAGTCAACATTTAAAGGAACTTACAACTTGATTTACCAAACCAAGTTTAAACATCAAAAGTTAGCGACATTCTCGGTCATTTCGTACTAATTTCCTTTGGACAGATATAAATCTTCATCTCCCCATTTGTAGGATTAAATAGTAGAATATTTGGAAGCCTTCAGTTATGTAAAGAAACCTTGAGTTTCAGACTAGAAACCCCTCCGCTTAAAAATAACCTTTTATTGAAATAGGTGTAGCATCATTTGGTGCGACTGTGGTCCTGATAGGTCGCTTTGAAGGTACAAGAAGAAAACAATAGCATGAAAAAATAACATTGATACTTTTTTAGCGAGATCACCCCAAGTAAGGCAATAAAGCCACTAAGACACAAGTGGTTACTAGAGGTGAAAGAATTAGAAAACAGAAAGATAACTAAGCATCGAGAACAATAGACGTGTAATCAGAAAGTAGAAAATGATTGACATTGCATTTAAATTTTTGAAGGTCAAAGTTGGCTAGAAAGCATGGAAATGGAAAAGAGTTCCACAAGTGAGAAGTGTGAGAAAAGTAACTCTTAGCATAGAATTTACGGTTACTTCCAGCCAAAACGACTGCAAATTGATGAGGACTCGTCACCAGTCTAGGGATGCTATTTTATGGCAGTGAGAAAGTGACTGAAGCCGATATGCCAGGTCATGACAAATAATATTGCTGATTCTTTTCCGGATGTTATCAAGAATCTCTTTCTCTATATATATAACAAGAGCACCGGACCATATGCGACAGCAATATTCTAAGCATGAATCAATAGGATCAGCTAATCTACGCGTCTGTACTATTGCTACACCAATAGAACAGGTATTGCAATCAATTTGAAAGTTGAGGTCCGGTGTGATATCTTTTTCAAAACCTTAACCGTTTTTTAAGAAAAGGTGTTTAAATGATTAAGTTTAGGTACAAAACGTAGCGTTGGAATTTAATTACGGTAATCAGTGAAACCCTTATAGCACAGGCTGATAGAATTTATAATTTTACTGAAGCTTTACAAATTATATATGGACAAGATGCATGGAACAAGCACATTATTACTAAATCATTGTGCCATCAAATAAGACCTTCATTTACTTCAAAGGAAAATTATACTATTATAAAACAATTTAGCTATATTATGATGTAATATACAGTGCAGTAGTTTTAGTGTGAGAATAAACAATGCAAATTTAAAACATTTTGTCTCATAACTTGTGATTTTTTTTAAGCGTTTCACCCCAAGCAAGGCGGGAAGCCACTAGGATGCAAGGGGTTACAGGAAATAGCAAGATCAGATAGGAGTGATAGAAGAAAGGATGAGGGTAGTGGATAGATCAAGGCAACTGGAGATGTCGTTGTCCAGCATTATTATAGTATCATATACACTTTTATCTATTTTTTTGTTTTTATTAATTATGATCAAACAAATCTTATTCGTTAAATAATCTTTTTTGTAATATCTGTCTATATGGAGTGCCAGAGAAAAGCGATAATAACAAAAATTGCAATATCAGCACTGGTAAAAACATAAATTGATAACAGCAAAAATTGCAATATGAGCACTGAAAAAAATTGAGTTCTGAAGACATTTGGTTTATAATAACCAGAAATTCGTACATAAATAACCGCAAGGACACATGGCACAATGGATAAAGGCGTTGCTTAGCCCCCAAAGAGTGTGAGTTCAATACCAAGTTAAGGCGTTAACTGACACCCATTAAAGGTGGATCTAGAACAGTCCACTCCAGTGAGCGAAATAAAGGTTTCAGTTCGACATTCCAACCACCTGAAGAAGGCGGGAGAGTACAAGAGCCGGAACGTTGTAATAAATATGGCGACAAAGATGAGGTCAATCTTCAGAATAATGTAAATAGTGGACTTTTTTTTGTAATCTTTTACAATTTTCTTTTTTACACAGGTGTAACTTATTGAATACAGTTAAAAACAATTCATATTTTACTTGTTAGAATTCTAGCTTCCATTCAATTCATCTAATACAAATGATATCAACTTTATTTGGATTTATTCTTGAAATATTAAAATTTTGAAGTGAGTTTCTAAGCAAAAACCTGCGGAAATTAGATATGTCTATACATTTTTCAAACCATTTTTAAAACTAAATGCTCAAAAATTGGTAAAGTCTGTGAATCTAAATTTTAGTCTTACTACTTAGCATGTCAAATTCTAGGTTTTTCATCGAGTGCACATTGATCTTCTAAAAAAGTGAAAACTTAATCTGTCCTATTTCTTCGCTACTGAATTTATTTTTTCTATCAGGGTCATGTCTACCCGGTCTGAACGTGACATCTGCGAACAATTACATCTGCAAGCGAGGCAATTTATTTTTTTCAAGATTAATCAAGAGTAAAGAGACCTGAGAACAAAATACAAAATCGCAAATAAGATTTCGTTGAAATTGTTAATAAATTCTTAATTCCACAAATGTAAACAGACGACAATTCCACCATGTTTATAAGTTTCAGCAATTGGTTTTCTCTTTCTTAGTGCTGCCTGAATTCGATTAAAGCCCAATGCTCGGCTTCTTATTTAACAATTATTGAATCACCAATTAACACCTGAAAATTTTCAAGGTAATCAAAGAAATGATTTTAATCGAATTTCTCCCCAGTACTTGTTTAATTGCTCCTTTTTTGGAATTTGTCAAATCAACTGTTTCCCATTATTCTTCTTTGACATATACCCTTTTCTCTATTTCTCCGATGACTTCATCAATTTCAATAATTTCATCTCAACTACTGTTAATCCCAACCATTTGATCTTAATTTGAACATTCATTTATTTGCTATTAATATTTATTAAGAACTTTGTTCCAATTTATTACTGCTACGTTTGTTGGACAGAATCGTTTGAGCAAAAACAGCAATTATGAGAAGGCGTAAAACTAGTAATAATAATAATAACAATAATAACAGCAATAATAATAACGAAGAATGTATCAATACAGAATGTTTTGTTTTGTTTTGTTTTGGTTTGGTTTGGTTTGGTTTGGTTTGGTTTGGTTTGGTTTATAGCATATCAACCTCAATGGATTATTTAACGTCGACAAAATTTTATTGCTGGTAATATTTTTTCCCCAAAACGTATTACTTATAATATTTTTTTTCCTTCCAAACTCTATTGCTGGTAATATTTTTTCTTTAAGAATCTATTCCTGATAATTTTTTTTTTTCAAAAATGTATTGCTGGTAATTTTTAAAAAAATGTATTGCTGGTAATAATTTTTTCCTTCAAAAATTTATTGCCGGTAATAATTTTTTGCAAAGTATTTCTGGTATGAAAACCTATTTTTAGATATAGTATTTTGATCTCAGTTTGGGGGTTAATTATTTGCCCATAGCTGGGACCCTAACAGGTTCTACCACACTGTGTCAGGGTGAAAATGGGAACACCAGCAATTAAGAGGTGGTTACATGCTCCTCAAAACCTCCTGATCAGAGGACTTGCTGTTTGACGTAGTTAATCGTCTTATCCAGGACGCGGTCCGGTTTGGGGGTGAACTACTTGTCCATACTGAGACCCTAACAGGTACTATCACTCCGAGTCAGGGTGGACGTGGAACAACAGCAATATCAAAACTCCGATCAGAGTCAGGGTGGACGCGGTCCGGTTTGGGGTGAACACCAGCAATTAAGAGGTAGTTCCACGCTCCTCAAAACCTCTTGATCAGAGGCCTTGCTGTTGGGCGTAGTTTATCGTCTTACCCAGGACGCGGATGTAGTTTATCGTCATACCCAGGACGGGGTAACATAAGTAGGCATAACAATGTTCTCAAAAATAATATTGCACATCCGCATTTTGCGTCGCCCATTAAAACCTATTTTTACACAAGTTTGGGTGTTAAATATTTACCCATAGCCGGGACCCTAACAGGTGCTACCACTCTGGGACCACCAGCAATTAAGAGGTGGTTCAACGCTTCTCAAAATCTCCTGATCAGAGGCCTTGCTGTTGGACGTAGTTTATCGTCTTACCCAGGACGCCAGTATGTGGGTATGAAAAGCAACAATAACAGGATGAAATGAAACTAGAAATAAAATAATAAAAGGAAAGAGTGTATTGAACCAAAGTGTTTCATAAATAGAAAAAAGAATAAACTGGATTAAAACTACTAAGTAATTAGTAGTACAAATGAATTGACCCAGAGTGTTGTAATAAAACGATAGAAAGGTGTGTAAAACAAAGGAGTGTGCTAACATGATTCATTACTGGCAGACATGATCTTAACAACATAAGATATTCAGATGACAGTGTTGATAGCAGACAGAGAAAAAAAACTACAGTAACTCCATTAGGCAGAGAAGGAAAGTGGGAAGAAAGTACAAAACATCAATTGTAAGACAGAAATTATTGTTACCGACAAAATAAATAGCCCTACATGAAAATTATAAATTGGACATGCCAAAGCCAAGCAAGTAAAAACATTTAAATATTTAGGAAAATGCTTTAACAAAGGACAAAATCCTGTGACACTGAAATCCGAAGGTGGATTGCGATAGTTAAAGATGCCTTCCCAAAGTTAAGCAGAGTATAATAAGAAAAAAACACAAAAAAAAACAAAGGAACACTGAACTGTTACGTTATGTCAGTCCTCCTACATGGCAATGAATGCTGGACAATCTTCTCAAGAGTCTTGAAAAAAAAAACAGAAATTTGGTTCTACAGAAGGATGTTCAGAATCCAATAAACTAAAAATGTGAGCAACGACAGATTTTTATAAGAAATGGAAACAAAAATATACTTAATATAAAAATGAAAGTTGAAATTTCTATGACACATAATGAGGAAAGACGGCCTAGAAAACTTGACACTCATGAGATATATTGGAGGCAAGAGGAACAAAGACAAACAGCGTATAACATGTAAATCTTATATAATTGGTTGGTAGTACAGGGTTTAGGAGAGATAGTAAAAAGGCAAAATTTACTAAGAGTTACAACGGACAGGATTTTGTCAGGTGCCATGATCGCCA